ACCCGTTCGGGTAAAATACATTTTTCGATTTATCATTAAAATACATTTTTCGAATCATAAACTATCTTTACTGTAATTAGGAAATTATAATTATAATATTCTTTGAAATTTCTTTCAGAAGGGTAAAAGGGATTCAACTTTCCTTTTGACTGCCACTAAGAATAAAAGCTTTAGCCAAAAATAACAGGGAAAAGAAAAAGAAACTAAGGTTTATTGACCAACGATCACAAACAACAACCAACCAAGTGTGTAGACATGTACTTGAATGAAAAACTAACCTCAAGTCCTCAAACCGTTTGCAGACAGTTCGGAGATCTGCAGATCCGGGGACCTTACTCAAGAAACTGAACACCTCCCTAGCAACATTCTCCTTTTCAGCAGCATCTGAAGTTAAAGCAGCTCTTTCAAGGCGTTCAACAGCTAAGAAGAATTCACGTAGTCTCCCGCTAATATCGTCAACTGTTCCCCTGCCATCTGAGCCAGTATACTACTGGGGTAACAATAGTGTAAGATTTAAGTCAGTGAATCAAAAGATTTAGAAAGAGGGCAGTACGGCTAATTTAAAGAGTGGTACCTCCATCACGGCAGAGATGAGCCTTGTTGCAATTTGGTCACCCTCTTCAGAGCAAACTAGCTGATGGAATGTCAACTGGACCAAAGCTTGTTTTAAGTTTGCGTCAAGCCCCTGAACTAATCTAGCAATATGGTGTTGAGAAAGAAGTTGGAGTAGGAGTAGCGCTTCTGCAGATCTGAGAAGCAACTACCTAATACACTCCATCGCTCTCACCTGCAAGAGGGAAAGACTAATTAATGACTTCCACAACAGACCAATTGAAGAGGAGAAAGTAAAATAGATTTATAAGAATTCAACAAATCATACCTCTGTGGCAGCCAGTTCAGCAGGGCTATATAGCAACCTGTCTTTTATTTGCTGACTCGCCTCCTTTGGAATAGGCTCCAAACAAGTTCCTTACCATATTCCTCTTAGTAGTTCCCAACTCTGAACTAGTGCCATATGAAATAGAGCCAGTTACATCTCCTAACCCAGTAACACATCCATAAAGCCCCCTTCTCCGGTTCCTTCTAGATCTTAAGAACTTCTCCAACGAACGAATCTTGCTTTCCAGCACATGCATAGCACTGGTAGACAGACGACAGAGCACCGCTCCGTCTTCAGACATAGGTTCAGAACTGGATTTTTTAGACATCACAGAAAGTTCCCATAGGGAAAACAGTAACCTTGACGTACAAAGGCAGAGCCCTTCGTGAGCACCTGAGAAAATGGGCTCGGCTTCTTGAACAACTTGTCCCATGCTGAAACCTCCAGTTGCTGTTCTAGTGTTTGACAATCCACTACTGCCATCAAATTGTGGCATTCCTACAATTCTGGGATCCTCAAAAGCCTCAGCTGCTTTATCAGCAATAATGTTACTAATTAAATCTTAAAAATTTATTATCCGGGCAGCCAGCATCAAGCACATGGAAGCTGCTTCGCCTGCTCCAAAACGAGTGAAAAAATCTTCCAGAAGAGACCTTGGAGAGTTGGATTCTAGAAGTCTTCTCAAGATATCAACAGGCCTATTGAAAACNAGTTCCNTCATACCCATGGTGGTAAAAANGACAACCTTTCTCCTCGGCAAAATATGCTGGGTTGAAAGATCACCCCTGGCCCAGAGTTTTCCACATGCTTTTTCATAAGACTCTCCTGAGACTTCGAGTCCACAGTATTCAAGTTCTGAATATAATGATTGAACAGTACTAGCAGTATCAGGAGAGGGGAACATTTGCTACAAAAAGCATACGGTCTTCAATGGGTAGGGAGGACACAACTTCCAGTAAAGCCCGACTCCTTGAACTTGGTCCTGAACTGCCGCCAACCTGAGAGTGCACGCCTGAATCTCTGCTGACAACAATAAGAGAAGACATAGCAGGTGGCAATGAATCTGAAAGGACGAGAGTTCTAATAGAATAATAAGCTGTTTCAATCTTCATCGAGAGATCGTCATTCTGAGCTCTACCAGCAANAGATGCAGCTCCAAAACCAAGCCCCACACCGACCCCTAATGGAGGAGATGGCCTAGTTGTAACTACTTTTAAACAGCTTGGAGTCTGGCGGTGGTTGTTGAACCCACTGAAATTAANGTTACCACTACTTCCACTTGACGAGGTGGAAATATACATCCTCCTACCATCTGATAACGCAGCAACAAGGTGCAACCATTTGGATTCCAGCATTGACAATGGTGAAATGCTGACTATGGATGGCTTGTTANATCGACCTGCCGCTGCTGACTGTCGATTTCCNTGGCTCACATCCTTCTGATTTAATAAATTCTTTTCTTCTGCCACCTTTTTCAGAGAGCCTTCCCCATTTGGCCCAAAAATATATGCTTGAAGTTTCATCTCTTCAGTGCGGGCATATAAAATTTGCCTTTCATTATCAATAACCATCTCTACAACAGGATCTACAGCTCCAAACTTGAATACATTTGGCACAACCCACCTAAAACCGACAGAATTGGAGATAAATGTTATAAAAACAATTAGAAAGAATATGATATTGAGGACTTAATTAGAGCATAGATAGGTAGAGATAGGAAATGGATTGGATTGCTAGAAGGTTGCTTTATCCAGATTCCGGAATCAGATAGCAGAGAGAAGAGATAGAGAAAACAAACAAATATAATCTGTGTACCTTGAGATCATACTACCTACGCCTGCAGTAAGGCACACTTTACGACAACGTTTTTGCCAGTTTNAGCCAGTTGTATATAGCAGCTCATATATGTGACCATCACGTCCAGCCGTGAAAATGCGCCCTTTATCGGTACATGTAATGCAGGTCATTGTCACTCCATCTGATGATATTGTATAGTCAGGCAGAGGCTGTACTGAAATTTCAGCATAAGGATCTCTACCATCAGGTCCTTCAGTGCAGCAGACTCCAACAAGAACCAACTGATGATAAGTAGAGTATCTCTCAGGAACTACATACAGTGAACAAAAACTAAAGAAAGATGTGATCTATGAAAAGTGTCACCTCAACAGGAGTTGCCAGCACCAAAAGAAATCGAATAGCTTCAACAAAGATTCCAGGTCTACATTTCACTAGACCAACCGCACAGATAGCCTGCCCTTCCCCGCTATACTCAGGACATTGCCCATCCCTAATATGACAAAGCACAAGTAATGAAAACGAGGCATCTCTAGCTCTGAATTTCCCCTGTAATTAAAAAGGAGAAGCCAAATTTACCGTTTGTCAAAACGCCACAGAAACAAAGAATTGTCAACAGATGCCCAAGCTCGTCGAATCTCTGGAAAAATCCCACACAAGGCCGTTCCTTCCCCACCGGCTGTGTTATACCTCTCAATAAGCACAGAAGGCAATTCCCAAGTCTCACCCACCTCAATCAACGGTGGCCACTGCAACAAAACCAATACACCTATATCACAATATGCTCAGATTTCCATTTCCATCTGCTAGAGAGAAGAATTGAAAAAAGGAGAAACCCTAATCGAGTTATCACCATCTTGCAATTAATTTTCAACTAATTTTCCTCCTTCGAATCGCAAACCCAATAGCTAATTGCTTCGAAATAACCCATCTATATCACTGAATCGAATAGTTTCTGGAGCTAACGTCACACCCCGCATCACGATCTCTTTGTCTTGCGACATCTTTTGCAGGAAAAAGAATCACACTGGAAGAATTTTTTCGAACGGAAGACTATTTGCTTTTATTAAGTATATCCTTTTTATTTACTAAAACATATCCTTTATAGTCTCCGAAGTAAGAATTTTATAGTCTCCGAAGTATCCTATTAATTCTCTCTTAAGTAGCCTATTCTCTTCAGTAGCCGCCTATTTATTCTTGCTTGTCTTCTTCTTCTGGCTGTTTCCCTGGTCGCTTATCTTCTGCCTTTCTCTCAAGTTCTTGTTTCCCTGTAGTAAGGCGACGCCGGAGTGATGCGAAAAAACCTTTCTGTTCTGTGCTTTGTGTGATGTGGTGCGGCTGCATCGGCATCTCCAGTGGCTGTATTTGTGTGCGTGATAGTGGTGGCGGGATGATGACAGGTTGTCCAGTTACCCTCTGTGCAAGCGCGCAGAGCACAGCGTTTGCGCTTGCAGCCATATAATATGTGTCTGAACAAAGAGCGTTTGTGCTCGCGGCTTGTAATTCTAACGTGTCAAATCTTTCCTCGTGGTGTTTTTCCATTCTCTCAACCCTGGAAGCCTGTGCAACATTAAAATACATTAGAATGAAGAAAGATATTTTTGTCACACAAAAAAAAGAAAGAAAGATGATTCAAAGTTATAATGCACAGTCAACTTACTAAATCCTTAAAGCTTTGTTCAAGTACGTTATTCGAAACTTTGACATCTTCAACTTCTGCTCTGATAATGCGGACATCATCAGAGATGCGTTGAGTTATTGATTCAGTGTTGATCGATCTCTTATCCTGAGAGTCTAGACGATCAGTCAGGACTGTTTTAGTACCCTCCAGATCCAGTGAAAGACCATCGATTCTGTTCAATATATGACCAAGTTGAGCACCACTGTGTTGACTTAGTATCGTGCTCTGTAAACAAGAACATAATTAGAATCAGCAATTCAATATCTAATGTATAACAACTGAAACTATATGTGTATTGAAATTAAGGGACTCAAAATGTATAACAATAGTAGTATATATCACAAACTACCTCAGGTGTGGCACGCTTCAGGATGTTAAAAGCAGGGGAGATATACCCAGAAACCCTCCTCAGGACGTTCAAGACAGGAGTAATGAATCCAAAAGCTCGTTTAACTAGCACCCAGCAGCTCAGAGCAAGAATTACCAAGAAACCCACAAATCCAAGGAATATAAGAGTAGACAACTGCAAAATATAAACGGCACCTCAATGAGAGGTTTACTTCCGAGCTTGTTATCACCGTCAAAACAAACAAGTGGGCTTTATTGGGCCTTTAATTAGTTTTTGAGCCTTCAATACTGAAAAATTCAAAATATTTCAAATTTTAGTTTAACAAACAAGCAAGCGGGAG